CTAAACTGAAAGCCTGCAAATTTTGATAAAGTGGCATAAAAATGGAGCAAGATTGCTTTCTCTAGTATCCTGTCTTAAATATGGCAATTCATACAGTTGCTGTTGTTGCAAGTGTCTAATATACAACAAGGCGTGGGGAAAAAATCCAATGAATCTGTTTTTGTATGTATGCTTCTTAGATTCCAAATATGACAAATATTTTCTTTCTCTATATGATAAATATTTAAATATTGCTTGCACCCCATCATGTTCTGTTCTATCACTTAAGCACAACCTTCAATCAATATATAAAAATAAATTGTATGTAATCAATACCATGCATAAAACATGCATGTTTTAAAAAATTCAAATAGCAGGTGTTTAGGTGAGCTGATAATTATTGGAACAAGCAGAGTAGAGGTGTTTCCTCGTGTTGTGGATAAAGTTACTCTTTCTGAAGCAGCTATTTGTCTTGGAAATATAATTGCAATGCCAAAGAAGTAATATTTCTTAAGTCCACACAGGGAAGAAAAAGATTAAACTTTGCTTGCTGTACTCCTGATAAATATTAGCACCACTACCAACTGGTGGCAGCTATTTGCATTTTCTGAAACATACCTTTTTAAAATTAGTTCTAAAGATGTATTTGAGGTTACATCTATTTGGCCCTAAATGCTGCACTGCAACCCTAACTGATAAAGGAGCAACACAGAGGTAGACACTGTGATTTCTTTAAAAACTTGTGAGCTATTGCAGTTACGCAGAAAGAGGATTTCCTGTGGCTTCCAAGGACATCAAAAATCCATTAGTCCTTTGTTTTCATGATTTCTGAGTGAACTACTAATACTAACTGTAGGTTCTTTGTAACTGACAATTGCAGACAAGGGCGACACATACTAAGCCAATTAAACTTATTGAATAAATCACAACTGGCTGTTGATGTATGATGCCATAAATCTATGATTACAAACTCAAGTAGCTGAGTTCACATAATACAACTTAAATATATTGTTGGCTTTGGCTTATAATTTTGTGTTAACGCAGACCAGGAAAGCACACTCAAAATGTTGATTACAGCTGCCATGTTGCAAGCAATTAAATGGCAACCATCATAAAGTTCATGAATGTCTCCTCAATCTGTGAAGTAATTTCTAATTTGTATGCTGACTGTTTATTTTGTGATCTACCATTTGGACTACAATAGCAGTAATTTCTGAGGATGCCATAATCTACATTTGGCTTCTGAGAGTTAAAAGAGATTTAAAAATTGACACTTTTGACACCTTCCACATTTAAAAGTATTCTGTTTAGAATTGTACACATCTGCCCTGCTATGCAACCTGTTCCTATTCACATTTTTGCAGACTGGGTATTCTAAAATTGCACTCCTACATAACCTTTTCCCCCTTTCACTGTCATTTTTAAAAATCACCTTATTTTCCTACCTTCAGAGATCACTCAGAATAAAATGAGTCAAAATATGTGAACTAGTTCCTCTTTAAAACCCTGTTGATGGTATTGTGAAAGAATATAAAATGAGACGGCTGTCATTATGCATACAAATGAAGGATATTTTTTTTCTCCTAGGTACACTTTAAACCAGAGCCCAAGACACAAGTTGAAGCAAAAATTTATTTATTGACAAGTTCAACACTGGAGGCCAGGAAGTAAAGAGGGATGGATTATAAGCCTCCTTCATGGACTTATTATCACTTCTATTTGGTTACATCACAGTTATAGTTAATTAATAACTCTGCCAGTTCTTCATCCAATGATTAGGTCTTAGGATGTTACCAGCCAGTTTAGAAATCCTGGCATTGGCCAGCCAAACACAATCTCAAATGGAGAAGAGAGAGACCATGCATGCAACTAAGAGTCATTCAAACTGCCATAAGAACAAAGGGAATGGCTTCTGGTCAGGAGAGACCCATATCAGCCACTGCTTTGGCCTACTGGTTTTTAATATCCTGGTTCCATTGTTCCAGATATGTTGAAGGCATGAGAAATTGAAGTTTTATCCCCATTGCAGTGCAGATAATTTACTGCACTAGTGAAGACAGCCCCCCCCCCCCTGCAACTTGGGATAAAACCAGTCAACATTTTTGTTTTCATTACAATAATGGCATTATTTCAACAACAGAGGTAAGCCTCCACCCACCCTAAAAAGGTACAGAAAATAACCAGCAAGAAACAAAGCCCATTTGACCTAGGGAGCAATCCATTTGCAAGGTTTTGAATAGACTTTGCAACCATGATCTGGCTGTGGGCTTTGTTGATTCCCCCAGATTCACACTGGGTAATTTACAAACAATGGGAAGAACTTATGATTTGAGCTTCCTGATGAACGGTGCATACCATACAAATATTATAGATTGTGCCACCACCACCCCCCTTGTTTGCATGAGTAAGCTGATGAAAAAGACAGGCTAAGCACTTTACTAGTTGCCTTGGGGCAACTGGTCATCTGTGTGTTTCCAAATCCCATGAGGGCCCCTACTGTACCTCACATGCCTCTGGAAGTAATACTCGGTTGGACCCCATCCTGTAATAGTTTTAAATCACCCAAAGAAGGCAAGATTTGACTTGGGTCCTCGGTTTGCTGAATTGCATCCAAAATTATGGTAGCTGGTGGGCTTCTCAATGCAGCTGTACAAGCTACCATGCCAGCACATCTCTTTCCACTAGTAATGAGAGAATCATGCTGATGTGGTTTACACCAAACTATAACAATCTTGGAAGGCAGTAATAAAGCTTGCAATAAAGCATGAATAAAAGGAGTGTGGAAGGTGGAAGTTCCAGCCAAAGTTAGCAACTTTCTCTAAAGAATATCAAATAAACAGCAAATTCCATAAGCATATTCTGAGTCAGTAAAAATACTAATATTTGTCTAATTAGTAACTCACAGGCTCTAGTGAGTCCAACAAGTTCAGCCACTTGAATGGAGTGTACCTCTGGAACACAAAAGATCTCATAGCAGCGTGAGAAGAACAAACAATATTTGGTGTACAGTTTTCCAATTTATTTCAGAGACAAGAGCCATCATAAAAAATAATCAGGTCTATAACAGTGAAATGAGTAGCATCAGCAGAGATAGAAGACAAAAACCACATTAGGATTTGGAACCACAGAATGAAGAGAAATTGTGTAACAGTTAATGGTTCTCAAATCCTGAATAAAACAATGTAAGGGCCCTTCCTTTTCATCTATACTTTCTGGCTTAGGTACAGGGAAAAAGCAGTGTTTGCAGATGATAATGTAGGGATCAATATCTTCTGGCCAAGGTAGGAGGCTATTAGAGGTGTTATCCTCTTATCAATCTTAGAGAAAACATGATATTGTAAAATAGAAGGAACTTTCCCTGAGGAGGAAACCAGTAATTTTTACTGGAATTACTGTTTGTAAGAGACTTACATCATGAGAAGAGGTAACTCACAAAGGATGGTCTAGATCAGAAACATCTTCTATTTCTTCTGTAGCAAGGAGCAGCAACATTTCTGGCAATGTTTGTTTCTGGGATAACCAAATAAACTCTATCTGAAGTATAATAAATGTAATGCAAATATACATCTTTAGATCTTTATAAATCAAGTTATGACCCATGACCCCACAGTCTGACAGTAGCACCCAGTATGGTTGGTCAAATGGTTAACCATAACCTATATGCCCCTGAGGCCCCTGAACAGATTGTTGCCACCAATTTTTAAAACCCAGCACAACAGCTTTACAATATATTGGGTCCTAATGGCATTCTGGAAAATGAAGATAGCGATGGTTGTCATAGTAATTTCACTTGGTGTACTTGGCTACATTTCTGCTAAAGTGAGTTCTAGAGGTAAGGCATCAGAATGAGACATAGCAGGCTGAAAGGAGAACTTGCTGACTTAACCCTCAAAACTGGCAAAGATGGCATATGACAATGGCACTACTAAAAATCCCACTGCGACACCATTTGTAAAATGGAGCTCATGTTTCTGAGGTTTGTTTAAAATATAACCCCCCCCCCTTTTTCCAGCAGAGATTTCCAGTCACATCAGGCCTTCACTGAAAAGGGCCTTAATTTTAGCACCACCAATTTTTGATAGGCTTAGAGAGAACATTTCAAGGATGGATTTTGAAAGTGGTTTTGACACTGTGATGTTCATTTCTTATTGTGTATCGTTCTTTTTAAAAACCTTTGTTTATAGTTTTATGAACTTTTTTTTTGGCTTTATAGGGTTTTTAAAATTTTGTTTTTCTATTTTTTTCTAGCTTTTTTTTCTTTTTCTGTATTTTTCCAAACTTGTAATAAAGTATTTTTTTTAAAAAAGCCATTGTGCCTATTGTGTATGATTTCCCCATTCTGTGAGGAATCAAAGGTGTACAGCAGTTGTCTTTGAACTCTACTGTATAATCTGAGTCCCACAAAAACAACAGCGCTCCACTCTGGTTTCCCGCCCTTCATAATTGCTACACCCAAAAAGTCCCAAATCGTGGTCTGTCACTCGGAAGGTTGTTGGCTAGTGCGGACGCTCAATGGTTGTTAAAGGAATCACTCTGCACTCTCGCGGACAGAAAAGTCACTTCATCTTACGTCGCCTGTCACGCTTCGACCGCTAAAATACAGCCGTTTCCGCCTGAAGAAAAGGCGGGGCCCCCGTCCAGGCTTCTCAATTCTGTCTCTTCGATTGGTTGAAAGGTGTCAGCTTCCAACCAATCGGGGCGAGAGGGTGGGTTTAGTTCATGTCGAGTGGCTTGATCCCCTCGTTGAGTGGACATCACTTCTGCCCGGTGTTGTTGAGAGGCGTTACCTCACAGAGCCTCAACTATGTCCTTTGATTGGCTTCTGTCACTTCAGTTAACGTGACCGTTGGCAAGGCGGGTTCTAAGACTTTTCGCCACCCCGCCCCCTCCAAGTGGCTTGTCATTGGCTGGTGCCGCTAACTCTCGCACAAGCGGAAGGGCGTGCGCCGTGGCTCTCGCTCTCCGATAGGCTGCGGGAGGCACGGCGGGGGGAAGTGTTATTTTACCATGGGAGGCGGATGAGAGACTGGAGGGGAGGTTATGGCGGGAGAGACGAAAACAGCTTCCGGGCCGCATGGCTGTCGCCTCCTGTTGCGGGTTGTGGTTCTTTCGATCCTGGCGCGCGGCTCCGGTA